AAAAGGGAATTTTGATTGGTGAAAATAGCTCACGTCAATGAGAGAAAGAAGCTCATTGATTGAAGAAAGTGAATCAATAAGCTTTTTCCCAGGTTCCGAGTCTGATTCTCATATCCTCTTTATCAGAATCCAACATAACTCCCTTTCATCCCTTCTCCTCTTCTCTCGATTAGATCTTCTCCATCAACATAAAACAAATCCTCCGATGAGATACCAAATCGAGTATAAACAAGTCCTCTGATGCGATACCAAATCGAGTATCTAAGGTTGCGTTGTCGAGTTTCTAGTTTTCTTCCTGGTGAAACGACATAAAAAGTTTCGAAAAAAAAATCGGTGATTTAAAAAAAAAATTGAAAAAATCAAATCAAATACTTTCGACAAATAATTAGTTATAGTATTTGGTTGTCTGCGGTTTCACGGGTATAAATATTGTATGAAAATTATAAATTTTATTTATAATTTTGTAATTTTGAATAAGAATCATAGATCTTAAAAAGGTCTTTTAACTTTCAATATTTTGGTAATCAAAAGCTTGATATTATATAATCTTAGAAGTGTTTCAAAATAAAAATTAGAAGAGTTTTGAGATATAGTGATAATTCTATAAATTTTAAACTAAGTTTTCAAATATCTTTTAATGACATAATTTGTAATTAACACAAAACCAAAGACTATTGAACAAAAAAACTATTTTCTAAAACTTTCTATTCTTCATTTTATTTTTTTCTACCACTTTATTGTACTTATATGCAAAATAGTTAAAAACTTTTCATAATTTTTCAAATCACATATCACTCTTTCTCATTCATTTTTTATTTCTTGTTTAAAATAAAACTCAAAATTGGTTAGCAAAAAAATTAATCCTTAAAGAATCTTCAATCATCACACTATTTTATCAAACACTCATTCATTTGACCAATTTTTTTATTAAAACAAGCATAGTTTAGATATGTTTTAAAAATATTATTTTAATTTATTTTAAAGTACTTTAATACATACCTATTGTAGTTAAATCTGATTAACTAATTATATATAAGAAAAACAAATTAGAATTTTAAAAATCTTAATGTCGTTATTTTAGATATATATACTTAATATTAATGTAAGATTCAATATTAAATCAAAATATTTTTATTTATATTTTTATAAAATTTTGTTAGTTCTTAATTTTTTAAAAAATTATTATCAAAAATTGTAAAAGTTTATTGAATCCCCCCTCCCAAAAAAAACATATCCTTTTTTTTTCTTAATTTCCATTTACCTTATATTTTTCATATTTGATCTTATCAATTGTAGAATTGGTCATTTTTTATTGATCGTCCTAACTCAATTTAACTCAATGTTTTAAAACACATAAAATTAATTAGTTCACATTTATAGATATATGTAAAATACATGTATCTCGACAGACAAATAATAATTAAGTACATAATAATATAAGAGAACCAAAAACTCAACAAACATATTTTATTTATTAATTTATGATTTTTATTTATGTTTCTTTTCTTTTTTTTTCCTATTAAAACATAAGCATGCAAACATTATTATAATCAAAGTACCTCCTGATTTTTATTTATGTTTTTTTTTCTTTTTTTCTTCCTATTAAAACATAATCATGGAAACATTATTATAATCAAAGTTATACGAATTATATTAATAGAGTATTAATTCTATTATAATAAATCTTGATAAATATAAATTTAAAGAACTTACCAGATAATTTTTATGATTTTAAATATAAAAAAATACTTTCATCATTTCCATAGGTGATAGCTCAGCTATAATATCACATTGTTATTCAAAAATTATTGGATTTTTTAAACTAATATATTTGGTTTCTTGCATTCATTTGACATATATTCTGCAGTATACGATTTATTATATCCACTACTAATATAAATATATTTAAACAGTTTATAATTCTTTATATAGTATATGTATTTATATGTATATTATCAATTTATATAATGTAATCTATAATAATTAATTGTTTCTATAAATAAATTATGTTAATTCATCTATATTTAAGATGCTTAATTTTTTTTGGAAATATAGATTAGATTAGGTAATTTTAGGATTAGTTTCCTTTTAAAAACTTTAATTAAATAAATAAAAAATAAAAACCATCAACCAATCAAATTATAACGTTTTAATTGGAGAGCCCTCCTATGAGTGACACGTCAGCATAAGTCACTAAAGTGACTTCTCATTTAATATATATGAGGATGTTAGAGAAATTACACATAGTAATTAAAACAAAAAAAAAGATTAAGTTAATTTTTTTGAGGTACAAAATTTGTTTCTTTATCAAGCTTTTGTTTGATGAATTTACACGGGTAAATCAAAAAGAAAAAGATGTGGGGTGAAACATAGGAGAAAATATGGAAAATTTGATAAACAAAAGAACATGTATGACTTGAATTTGAAATTTAAATAAAGTGTATTGTGTAATCAAAAATTGAAAAATGTGTATAATGTAATATTCTCTATATTATTTCCCCTAAGTGGATAGACACTTTATTTGAATGTTTATCTCCTAATCTTACATTTCATATGCATATTGTAAAAAAAAAAAGAAGTTCAAACGGAAATATGTTTATGCAAGGATAATATAGAAAATATTACACAAATATCATGACCTAAATTTTGTTATGGTTATATATTTAATTTCATGTTTTATTGTAGACATGGACCCAAAATTTTCTACATTATAACACATTTTTTGATAAAACGTAATAAAACAAAACGCTTTCTAACTTGGAGACACTTTTCTATAATTTATTTTAAAAAAAATCTTTTCCACTTGAACTACTTTTAAACTTAATATGATTTCCCTTTTAAAATATTTTTTTTTGTGTTTTCATTTTGGATATAAACTCAGTACATAAATTATAATAAATAATGTTGACTTATTTTCTAATTAATATATTTTATCAATTTCAACAATTTTTCTACTATAAACATAGATGTATTGTGATGATGTGGGTCTATATAGCTTAGGAATGTGCATGGACAGATTTGGAGGGATGGACGTTTTCAGTTGGATGCATATACATGGATGTCCTTAGGTGAACAAGTTGCATATATGCAATTATGGTGGATGTATGGAGTAGACTTATTTAGATACACACTTCTGAGTTAATGTTTATCTGTGGATGCTTGTTAGTGGATGCGAAACTAACGATTTTTGGAATGCATTTGCTTTATTCTTAGAAAGAAAAAATAACTTACCATACAAAGTTTTTTTATAATTAGATTTTGTTGACATTGGATGAGGTATTAATTAACAATCGTTATTACCTAAAAACCTTTCCAAAAAAAAAATTGCTTAGTTTTGCCGAACATATACCAACAAATTTTAAAATTTTAGTCTTTGTTTGATACATCTACTGCAAAATTGATCATCAAAAAATTAAAGGACTAGTGAAACTCATAACTAAATTTTGTAGTCAAAAATAAAGAAATGTGTCCAAACACCATACAAACTAAAAACATGATTAACCCCAGATTCTTAAGGCGGGATTTTTAGCGGAAACTAAAAAACTGTTTCTTAACTTCCGCTAAGAACCCCGCCTTAAGAACTCCGGGTTAATCATGGTCGTAGGTGGAGTAAGGAATGTGAGGTTTTTATTTATGGATTGACGAAAGGTGGATGAGTTGATGAATTAGTTGATACTTGTGGTCTTGTGGATGAGTGATAAGTGGACATAGGTTCGTGGATGGGTCACTAGCGGGAGATGCATCGAGGTATGGGTTTTGAAGGTAACTATGGTTGTTAGTTTTAGCGGATATATACGTCGATAAAGTATTACATTGATGTGTCTTATTTTCATTTTTGAAAAGTGATCAAGAGAGGCAGAACTAGGGGATATGCAAAATGGTGATGGTAAGATTGGAAGATGGATGAAATCGAAACGCCCTCTTATATAGATGGTGAAATTGAAGTGTCTTTACAGAAGTGGATGCTGATTTAGAGCTTCATTGGTAATTTCAAAGCGGAAGCACAATAAATTTCTAAATTTTTAATTGTGGTGTAAATCTAACGTTGGAGAAGTTATACATAGAAATTAAAACAAAACAAAAAAATTAAGTTAAACTTTTTGAGGTAAAAAATTTGTTTCTTTAACAATTTTTTGTTTGTTGAATTTACACGTGTAAATCGAAAAGAAAAAGATGTAGGGTGAAATATAGGAGAAAAAGTGGAAGATTGGATTTACAAACCAATATATATGACTTGAACTTAAACTTCAAATAAAGTATACTGTGTAATAAAAAAATGGAAAATGTGTATAAATGTAATGTTCTCCATAGTATTCCCCCTTAGTGGATAGACACTTTATTTGAATTTTATCTCCCAATCTTACATTTCATATGCATATAAAATTTTCAAAAATATATAGAACTGATCCAAAACATACATGTGTGTTAGCTTAGGTATCTTTACAATTTAATAATCTTTCAAAGAAATTATAAAGCTTTGTTGTTGGTTCATCATCCATGGCGTCCGGCGTATAGCTTGTAAGGGTGAGCAACCCTCATGTATTCGTTATTACTCCAATCAGTTACTCGTCTTGATTAAGTAGCAAATTTGTTTTAATTACTTGTAAATACTAGAGAAGTACCAAGTAATCTGTGATCACCAAAGAATTACGATTTAAAGCACATTTCCATAGCCTTTGATTCTGTTGATTAACAATTTAAAACACTTGAAAAGGTGAAGCTAATTGTTTGAGAGAAGACGGTATTAAAATGAAAATTCAAGTTTAAACTGTATTATGACCAAAACGACAAAAGATCACTCTATCCAGAAGCAGAGCCTCTATTTTACCACCATATGTATATATGCATATGTTTCAGGATATGTGATAAAAAATTACCGGGAAATACTCTTTATATGTTGTGTATAAATATTCAAAAGAAAAAAAGAAAAAAAACAGACTCTGCACATAAGATGATTTTATCATATATGGAGAAACTGAGGATCAAATAGTTGGTTACAACTATTCGGTTGATGCAAGATATGCTTTCATGGTGCTATTCTGATTGGAATGCTGCTGCTGTTGCAACTGGCTAATCCTAAGCTGCTGCGGAAACATCTCCGGGCTTAGTGACGTCTTCGATTCCATGCTGCGGCTTGGCTCACCAGTCACAAGTCTCAATCGCTGGACTTCTTCAGTCAGTCTCTCAGACAGAGCTGCAAAGGAAAGGGATATGAGTTTTAAAGAAGAAAAGAAAAATGTCAAATGCAATTTCCAGTAGAAACATTTAAAAGCTTTTTTTTCTATTATTAATGTGAACTACACAGAGATGGATACAAACCGCATGCAAATCTTGCAGTAAAATAACTAACTCATATATGGAAGATGAACATTAAAGGTACTCTCCTATATAGAATGAAGGACATAATATAATAAGCGTACCATCGCGGAGTTGTGCCTGCTGCTCCATAGCTTGAAGACGGAACTTGAGCTCTCTGTTCTCGTTCTGCAACCCTATCGAATCTCTCTGAACCGCCAAAGAAAACAACATAAAGACTACCGACTAATTCAAAACAGGATTAACAACTTGTGTTTGTTCTCACCTGCAAATTCGTGAGCTGAGCTGATAATAGAAAGTTTTCATTCTGCAGAGTCTGCACCTTGTGTTGTAACTCTGCCGTTTTTTGTGTCTTCCTCTCCTTTGAGCGTGCAGCAGACGCACGGTTCTTTAACATTCTAGCAAAAATGGATAATACAAACATTCACGTCACAAAAACAACAACAGCAATAAAAAATCAAAACGTTAATTTGTATTATTATTATTTACCTTCTGACACGCTTAGGGTCAACCATAAAAATCTCAGCGAGTTTCACATCAGCTGAGATCTTCTTCATATCAGCTGCACTAAACGCACTCACACTATAAGCAGCATTCGAATTTGCGTCACCTGAATTGGTTGGAGAAACTTTAATTGATGGAAGCGGAAGCTTTTCATCACCAAAGTTCAATTTGGGAATGAAAGAGCTATCCATGGAAACACTCCGGTAGTGTCTACTAGTGGGAGGAGCAATGTCTCCGCCGCCGCCGCCAGCTCTCCTCTTCAATCCCTTCACATTGTCAGTGCCCTCAACTTCAGAGTCAGTGCTGTTTCTCGCCCCTCTAATGCTCTCTATCTCAGTAGTCTTGCCAAAAGAGTTCAAGGCATCAACGTTATCAAGATTGATATAAGCCCTTATAATATCGTCCATAGTAGATGATTCGCTCTCTGGTTGACGTGGTTCGTCCTTGACCAAACTAGACCAATCTGAACCGGAGATGATTGATCGGTCTAGAGACTTGGAAGGGATAGGAGAGTTTATTAGAGTGCGAGGCATCATCGCAAACGTAACATCGCTGTTGGAACGCCTATGAGACTTTCTGGGAGGTAGATTCTCCCTGCCTCCTCCTGCTACCACCACCGTTGAAGTAGAATGATGCATGGTACTGAACGGTGACGGAGGCAGAGAAGGGCTGTATCCGGCGTCGTTTCGCTCCTCCATGGGTTGAGAGAAGGGAGGGAACGGGGGAGGAGGAGGAGGAGGAGTTCCGACTCTATTTCCGGTGAAAGGAAGTGGGAAGCGGCTGAGAGAAGGATTCGAATTAGGTCTCTGGGTCATATCTTTGGAGAGAAAATAAAAACCCTAAAAATGATGGAAGCTTTAAGAGATGGTGAGGATGATGATGATGATAGATCACATATATATAATATATAACCTCTTTTTTCATTCTTCTTCATAGAACTAATAAGATCAACCCACAGTAAATGATTTTCGTAATAGAATAAGAAACAAATTTTGACATGCACTCTCCCCTCAACGAAAATGGAATGCGAATCTCTCTCTTTCTTTCTTTCTGTTTTCTCTTCTGACCAAATCTAATCAGTGGCGCCACAAATAGAGAAAGGAAGAAACCAACCAAAAGACTTTTGACTCTTGAAAGTACCTTAACTAAATTAGATCGGTCGGAAAAGGGAACACCCGAAAAAGAGCTTTTATATTTAAAAAAAAAACAATTATTAAATCTCTTATTATATATTAAAAAAAAAAAAAAACAACAGAATCTTACTCGAACTGGATAAAAGTACAAGAGATCACATTCTTTTTTTGTCTGAAGCTCTTTTCGAAACCTCGCCATCACATTACAAATCATTTTTTTCTTAACTATCTACTACATACTGAATGAAGATAGATTTTTTACTCAACATGACTCTCCCCCATACAACTCGATCATATAACAACAACTTTAAGCAAAAAAAAAAAAGACTTTGACTTCAATCCAGGCCAAGGCCATGAACCTACGTACAACTTCTCAGTTTCCTTAGACAATGCATGATCTCTCTCTCTCTCTCTCTCTTCATTCGAAACCATAATTTGTCTCCGGCTCCTCATCTAGGCTCAGTTGCTCCATCAACATGTTTTCGTACATTAATGTCTCCATGTTTGGGTTTAACACTCCTGTTCCCTTCTGCTTCAGCCTATTGATTTCTCCATTATAATATTCCGTCAAGGCTGCCACAATTAATATATTATGTAGATTCTAGATCTTGAAATGGTAACACAAGTATATAATAAAACAAAGCTTTTTAAGTTGTTTCAAAAACTACTATACGCAGTGAGGTCATAAGATCATTCACTATATATATAGATTGAAGAACAATATCATCACTCTTGACAAAAAAAAAAAAAATTAAAGATGCTCGTTACCATTAGCAAGTTTGGCCTGCTCCTCCATTTCTTGAAGACGAATCCTAATTTGCATGTTCTCCTCTTCCAGGCTCAATTTTGTTCTCTGCAAATGCAAACAACAACGCACTTTAACAAAACATATCTTAATTACAGGAACCGTGTGAGCTGATATAATAATGCTTGTCTCATGCACCTCCGCAGAGCTGTTAAGGGCAGTTACTCTAGCAGCCTCTTTCTCAAGAATGTTTATCGTTTTTTCCAACTCTAAAACCTGCTGCGCCTTCTTCTTCCTTGCACGTTCTCCTGTTTCCCGGCTTGACAAGAGTCTGAAATGATGCAAGATACCATATGAATATGATTAATTAAATACATATATACATTATTACTAATACATGATCAGACAACACATGCAATCTCTTAGATTTTACCTTTTGACATACTTGGGATCAGCAACAACCAGCTTTCTGAGTCTCTCACAACCCGCAATTTTCTTCATTTGAGATTCAGTAAACACCCATTTCTTAACCCCCAAAGTAGAGTTTCCCCTATTCGCACTCCCAGTGCTGCTTTTCACATTCTCAAAATATCCACTACTTATTCTCTCCACGTCATCATCCCTATTAGAAAAATCAAAATTCTTATCCAATTCCATGTAGGCAGTGACGTAGTCGTCCATGAAACTGGCTACTTCCCCATGAGGTTCTTTTTCTCCAGGGCCAACAGGCATCTCTATCGGCTTCGCATAGATCATCTGCATAGCATCTTGAGGCAACATAGAATGCAAACCAGCTGAGTAGTTATCACTGCTGGAGGTGGTAGGCCTCGTGAACGCAAACGGAGACGTTGCAGGGCTCATGGGCGGCAATGAGCCGAATGAGAAGACAGGCTGAGATAGCCTTGGTCCGGGGTTGAAATTCTGCAAGTCGTTTTGCTTACTGGTCGGAGGAGGACGGGGTGGCAATGAGCTCCGAGGAGGAGGCGACATGCTGCCTCTCTTGCCACTATGAGAACATGGGAATTGGGTGGAGAGGACGAAGCTTGTCTGATAAGGAGCGATCTCAGGGTGACGATTCATGGATAGTGATCACTCTCTGCATTGATATTGGAGTTAATAATACTACTATTTTTTTTATCAATAGATTAATGATACTTGTCTCTACACCTGAACGTTTGTGTCAGATTTTCCGATTTCAATTCTATTTTGTAACACATGTCTCATACGAGTAAATTTTTAAGTATGAATCGCAATCGAATGTACATTAGTAGTATATTCGGATCAGTTTTGTATCACATCGTATAACCCATAAAATAATTATATATTGTTCGGATTTGGTTATATCAGATCGGTTTAGATATATTCTAAGTAAATTTAAAATTTAAAAGTAAAACATAAAATATATATACTTATTTATATAGAATTGAATATTTAAAATACTTATTTTAATTTTATTATTTATTATATTGACATAAATATAAAATTGAATATTTGATCTACATATTATATTTCAAATATTTATATTGGATATTAATTTCGACATTCAGATCTGTGTTATTTTTCAGATTTTTTGGTTTTCGAATTATCTTTTTGGGTTTGGTTCAAATTTCAGTTTACAGACTTTATGCCCAGATTTACTTGTTTTTGTTACTTCTTTTCTTACTGAAACCAAATCAAAACTACAAATAAGAACACTTTTAATGGGGTTTTTATCCATTAAAGTTCTAAGAAACTTGAAAATGAGATTTTCCACAAAATAATAGACCACACACATATATATATATATATAAAGTTTAGAATTCTAATAGATAAAATCCAATTGGAGATGTTCTAACTGTAACGTAGTAATAAAATGACAAAAAAAAAGTGACAATACACAACAACCGTAGCGGCTCATGCTTATTAGTGTTAGAGCATCCGCAATGGCGGATCCTTTGGGGGGAATCCTTAGGAAAAAAGAAAAAGAGATATCTCGGATTATATAAGAATATTTCAGATTTTTTCTTTAAGAAAACAAAAACTGACCACTCACGTACCGCCACATGGGCAGTGGAGCCCATGAATAGTGTAAGGATCAATCCTTACATAGGGATTTTTAGGATAAAATCCTTAACTGTCCATGGAACCCATTAATTATAAAATTAATATTTCCCTAAGGATTCCCCTAAGAATCCGCCATTGCGGAGGGTCTTAGAGCACTAGTAGAACCATGGTTCTTAAGAAAAAAATTAGTTTTATAATTTGTAGATTCCACCATTATCTTAAGTGGCAATTCTTATGTGTTTGTAAGAATCAATTCTTGTAAGGTTTTTAGATTATTTGTGAGTTCAACCGATATGTGGCATCTCGCGATTGATTTTTTTTTTTTTTTAAAATACAAAAATAAAATAAAATATAAAAAATAATAATCCTAAGCACCCTTCTGCTAAGAGCTAAGGGGTTAATGGTGTTCTTAGAATTACCAAGCATGAAAGAAAAACAAACAAGATAATAATAATAATAATTAAATAAGGAAAATCTGGAACGTTAAAGTCCGAGAAGCGATCGAAAAGGAGGTGCAGAAAGGAAGAATACCTCAGCAATTCAAGAAGGGATTAATGAAAAAAAAGAAGAAGAATTTAAGCTGCTGATTTATCTTGCTTTGCCTCAATCCCTTGCACCACCTTTTATATTTGGTTCATGCTATGTACTGACAAAAATAGAAGAACCACTATTAGTATAACACGTGCCGTCTATTGATATTTTACAATATCCAGTCCTCCATACTTTTTGGATTTACCCATTTTTCTTCTAAGTTTCCCTGAAGTTGTAAACAATTTTTAATAGAATTTTTATCAACAGATTAATATCAACTCTGTTGTGAAAAAAAAATTAAAATCAATCCTAAGAACTTATATAAGGAATAAGTTCATATATTCCCCCGAAAAAAAATTCTTACACTTCATAAAATTACAGTTTTGATACATTTTTTTCTGTTATTATTTTATATTATTTTATATACTAAATTGAAAATTTCGTTAGAGTTCAGTCTTAAATTTAAAATTTATAAAATAAATATATCTTCTTTCCCAAATGAAAATAAGGTATTACATAAAACATATATGACATCATATTTATTTGCAAATTCGATAAACAAATTACTCACACGCTAAAGTAACCTTATGGAAAATTAAATGGATATTGAAATCTTGAATAGTTATTTGGGTCTATATATATATATATATATATATATATATATATATATATATATATATAAGGTATATGACTTAGTGAGTGACATGATATATAATACCTAAAAAATTCATATTAAGAAGCTACAAATAGCGAAACCAAAAAATTTATAAGCCTCGTAAATTAAATATGTGCTTCGTTTTAAAATATTCATGTTTAACCAAAAATCATAAATTTAATTAAATTATTAGCAAAATATGTTATTACTGTAAGTATTATCAGAAGCTCTTAATTCTTATGACAATGCATTTAAAAAAACACACAATCCACATAAACTAAGGTTAACTTGATATGTTTTATTTTATTAATGAAATATATTTTCTAGGAAAATTTTTAAAATCCTACTAAGATAAATTTTAGTTTTCTCTTCGTCATAAATTTATTTTCATATTATGTATATATATATATATATTACTATTTAAATATTAATAGTTTATGTTAAAGGGTAATAAGTTAATCAAAAATTAAGATTCTAGTAAGTTGAGGGTGTTAAATGGTGTAATTTAAAAGTTTTATATTGTTATTGAAAAATAAATTAATTGATGTACACTTTGTGAGAAGAAAAACTATGTGTACTAAAATGGTAATAAATATTTTAGTTCTTTATTTAATGAAATCTTCTTTATATAGACCTTTTATGTATTAATTAATTCATTCATTCATTCATTTTAGAATTGTATTGCCTTTTTAGATATCTCTTCTACCAATCAATTTGCATATACTGTTGAGATTATTTTTGTTTAAATAAGGAAAAGGTATATTTAGTGCAGAAAACTTAAATACAATGTACTAGTGTGAATAATGGTTTTCAGAATGCTTACATGTGATAGGGAAAATACGATATACTTTCAAAAATAGATTTAGATTTCTTAAGTGCTAAGTTTATTTGGGATAGAATATTCATATAGTGAATGGATTTTAGTTTAATAACATAGAGTTAAATTCTAATTTACAATATTGAATTTAGATATTGCTAATTTGCAATCATTCACAAAATGATCCAAACAACCAATATCTAAATATTGTAATTTAGATACTCTCAGTCTTAAGCTTGCTCCTAGAGAATGGGCACGTATCAAATATCTGGAATTTTTGAGGTATTCATGATTCGATCTATTTTGTTTGAATAATTTGATTGATTTGTAGCTCTCTTGATTTCCTTTTCTCGGATGTCCGGAAATTTTAATTTTAACTGGCTATCTGATTTGGTCCGTAGAATAAATATATATTTTAAATAATTAAATCAAAATAACATAAAATAACAATTATTTATAAAAATTATTTAATTTATAAATCTAATAAGTGAAACTATTATATAAAATTTAATGTTTATATAACTTATACATAGAACTTTTTTTAATATGTGTGTATATATATATATGTATAAAACTGAAAGGATATTCATTTTTTTAAATACTAGTATTTTTTATTTATTTTGTTTCTTTCAGATAATATATTTTAGTATTTGTTTTGTTTGTGGAGTTATCGATCCGGATTTTTTTTTTACTGAAACCGATAATGAATTGAATCAAAGTTTACCATTTCTATAAGAACAAAACTTAGGTTCATCTCCTATGGTGAACTTTTAAATTCACCACACCTCTTATCACCAATAAAATTGCCACCTAGACTAGTAATTATTTTTTTAATTACTAATTTAAGTGGCAATTGATTTGATGATAAATTGTGTGGTTAACTTAAAAGTTTATCGTAGACGTTAACCTAAGTTTTGTTCTTTCTTTAAAATAACTAGATTTTTACCATGCTACGCGCTTATGTATTTTAATTTAATTTATGTTTACTACGTAAATGACCTTGTTTGATTGTATTTATTTTTTTTTAATAATTTTTATTAGTTTTATAATCCCTATTTTATTTCTTTTCAGTAATTTTGGAGTATAACTAACTTAGTTTTTTTTTTGCTTTATACCATATAAACAATATTTTCACAAAACTGTAACTTGTTTTTAGTTTTCACATAATTTAGTGATAAAGTTATGATATCAAAAAAGTTTTACCTACTTTATCTATAATCTTCGAAAACAAATTATTATATGTTGTAATTATAATCTTACCTTCAAAACATAAAACAATTATCTTTGCGAAACAAATGTAAAATTTGAAATTACCATCTTCGTAGAACCGTAGAAGTAACTTTACCATATATTTTGTATTCTAAAATGAGTTTACAATTTATGTACAAACATTAACTTCCCTTTTTATTAACCCTGAGTCATTACAATATTATTAGAAATATTTTCTATCTTTAACTTTTGTGATTACCGTTTACAATAATGAGGAAAAATGAACATGCTTAATGTTTAAGAGATATTCTAATTATGTTTGCAATTTTTTTTTGTATCCTAATATAATAACATTATTCTCATATATAATTTCACAACCTTTTCATTTGCTATAAAATATAATATAATCTTGCAGTATTTTTTATTTCATAAATATATTTATTATATATTTTTATGAGAGGGGAGTAGTCTCTAGCGTGTTTACAAAAACTATAAGACAAATTATTATCAAAAATTGTTATTACTATATAAACTAAGTTAATATCTTGGATTCAACATTTTACTTGGAATATGTCTCTACATGTAACGATATAAAATTATAGTATGGCAATATGTCAATATACATGGGAGAGAATAACTCATTTATCACTCAAAAAATATCATCAGTTAAAAAAATTTCAATTTTTTTTTGTTATATGGGAAATTGGGCTCTATAGCAAGAGAAAAAAAATTAATTGGCAAACTAGCCAAAAACCCTAACAGATCCACTCACACCGTTAGTTTTCTATATTAATACAGTTTTGTCCCTTGCTTCAACCGGTGAAA